GACCTCGGAATATGGTTTTAGACTGATGTATGTGCTGGGGTAGTTATTGAGAAATAGGATAACCCAGTTCGGGTAAAGAATAAATTTTCGTAAGTCGGAGTTGAAGTATCTTGGACCGGAAACTGGGTCGTGTGTTTACGGGTTGTGGTTTTTGATAAGTTTTGAACTTATAATAACACTTATTGAAGGCAGCTGTTTGGCTAAGGTTCTGCAATGAACTGTCTTAAGTTGGAGTTGAAGTATCTCGGGCTGGAAACTGGGTCTTGTGTTTACGGTTTTGGCTTTTCATAATTTTGAATATATAATAACACTTAACTTTGAAGACAGCTGTAACTGTAGTTGACTCAGGTTCTGGAATGACACTTTCTATAGGACTTGTGTGTGTGTGTGAATGATAGTTGCTAGAGTTGCTATTAATGCGAGTTGCTAGAGTTACTGTTGGCCGTATATTTGGACTTGGTGATTTGATTCTAGTTTAACTTTTAAAGTGCATATACATGACAGCATTCTTGTGGACAGCTATTTATTCATGTGGAAAATATCTCACTCTTTGGATTTCTGTTTCATTTTTGTTATAGCGCGATGCTTTGTTGTGTTTCTGATACAAAGGTGGCATGTTTTCTGTGTCTAATTCAGGCATCTAATCTGTTGCAAGTGAAGTATGCCGATGGCGAGTTGGAAAGGCTAGGTGTAATATAATTTTTCTTTCTCGTAGTATATACTTTGTTTTTCCCGTATGATGGCAGATGGATTCTGTTGAATGTGTTGTATCTAGTTCTTGGTTTCCTATATTAATACCTAAGTACCTTTCCTTTCCCTTTCATTTTTTTTTTCCATGAGTCCATATTAATGAAATTTTTCTCGCATTTTTCATATATATTCGTTGTTTGTATACAAAATGTCAGAGCACAAACTCTTTGTCGGCATGCTTCCTAAAAATGTCTCTGAGGCTGAAGTCTCTGCTGTATTTTCGGAGTATGGAACCATTAAAGATTTGCAACTTCTTAGAGGTTACCAGCAAACCAGTAAAGGTAAAATTGCCTGCTATCTAACATGTTTGTCTATTTTTTGGTTTTTTAGAGATTTCTTAGCATTTTTTACGCTATTGAATTTTATATGCCCCGTAATCTCTTAATTAACAGTTTCTTTATGTATATGTAGGCTGTGCTTTTCTGAAATTTGAGACAAAGGAGCAAGCTGTTGCAGCCATTGATCACCTCAATGGGACGCATAAGATGGAGGTGTGTGACATTATTACCGTTAATGTTTGTGACCCTGTCCAAAATCATCTCCCAACATGAAATGTTCGAGGGTGGGGTGATGAAGTACTCGATGTCTTCAGTGCGTCTTTAAATTATTAATTTATATCTGACACATCCGAGCGTTGCAATAATCTTTAGTAGTGACTTATATTTTAGACAAAATTCTTAGGTGAAGGGAAAACTTCTTATTTGGTACCCCAACTTTATTCTCTTTTCACTTTTGGTACCCAATGTTCCAATTTAATCAATTTTTGTGAAGTTTGGTAATCAACTAAGAGCTTTTCCCTTCATAATAGTTAGCCTTCGCATCCACTGTAGTATGCTCTCTCATGGCTTCTACCGGTGAAACATCTCAAAGAGCTTTTGCAAATAAGAAATTGGGAATCAGCATCTCTGGCTTTGATATGTAATCTTTTTATTTCAATAGCTTTTATGCTTGTTTAATTAAAAGTTTATTATTGTGTTGATCGATATAATTACCATAGGAATTTGTGGCTCACGATTTATTTAGGGCTTTTATGCTGCCTCAGATGTTGGGGTCTATAAATGGCTGTTATACAACTGGATGCTATATGTGTTCTTTAGATACTGCTGCAGGGTGAGGTGTTGACCGTTGATGTTGATAGACTATACATATACACTTTTGCATATGGATCTTAGTGGAAATGATTAACCCCAGATTTCATGCTTTTGGCCAAGTAATCATCCGATTCTGAACATGTGGTGGAACTTAATAAATTTCTTGTTGGGATAGTACATGCAGCATGCTATATTGTTGAGAAACGCAGACTTATTTGCTTCTCCAGTTACATGCTAAACTTAGTGATGAAGCAGTAACATTTCATTGTAGTTCAAATGTATTGTTTAATGTTAATGTCATTAGCTTTCGCAACAGGGTTCAACTGTACCTTTGGTTGTCAAGTGGGCCGATACTGAAAAGGAAAGACAGGCAAGAAGGGCCCAAAAAGCACTATCCCTAGCGACTAATGTGGCAAATTCTGACCCGCATGCATCTTTGTTTGGTGCCTTACCATTGGGTTATATGCCTCCATATAATGGTTACGGTTATCAGGTTTGTCATATTTTAAACCCTCCCTTAAAAGAAATAGAAAGAAAGAGAATGTTTGTCTTAACAAGATTTATTACATTTTAGTAGGCTTTCAGAAGGGAGTATTTTT